GCACACAGCAGACGTTGCCTGTTGTGTGTTCTGGTGCAGCCCTGCTCCTCTTAAATCTATACCAAAAAGAGCAACCTGCTGCTTTGAAGAAGAGGTTTGTTTGTTTTTTTATCTGAAGTAGCATTAAAAAGCTCAGAACCCACCTTTATGGGTCCAGGGGAAGGAGGAGTGAGCTGTGGTGGTGCAGGATTTGAGCTGTGTGGGGACAAGGACTGACAGGAGGCTGATGAGCAGTAGAGGCTGACCTGTTCCTCAGTGGCAGAATTACCCTTGTGAAGGGAGAGGAGCTATTTGCAAGGACAGGTAGTGACAAGACAAGGAGGGATGGCTTTAAAATGACAGAGGGAAGGTTTAGATTTGATATTAGGAAGGAATGCCTCCCTGTGAGGGTGGTGAGGCCATGGCACAGGGTGCCCAGAGAAGCTGTGGCTGCCCCTGGATACCTGGCAGTGTCCAGTACCAGGTTGGACAGGTTGGAGCAATTTGGGTTAATGGAAGGTTCTGGGCATGGCAGGAATGAGATGGTCGTCAAGGTCCCTTCCAACCCAAACCATTCTATGATTCTATGGATGATGCTCTGGAACACGATTACCTCCTACTGCATTTACAATGAACAGTGGTTTGTTTTGGGGATTTCTAACAATTTAAATTTCCCAGATCCTGCAAGTTCTATGCTAGCTGCAGCAGGGGACAGTTTGTTATAACAGACAGCCCTCACAAACCTGAAATAGTCTTTGTCCTTTTCATGGTGATTGTTGTTGGTAAACTCATATAAATGGGAAGTGCCATTTCCTTCACATTGTTTGAAGTGTATTTGCTCAAGAAATAACTGAATAACAGTTTTCTGTTTTCAAAGCAGGAGACTTTTTCCCCTAATGCCCTAACTCTAAATTAGTATTCTGCATATCCCAATGAGCCCAGACTCCCAGGGCAGCCAGGTTATGGTCCAGGCATTAAGGCATCCTAGGAGTTAATCTTTCTCCTAATAATTAACTTTTTATTTACTTTTTTATTAGAAGATTTGACTGTCATTTATTTTTTACTTCCAGCTGAAATGCTGATTTAGGAGAAAAAAGGGTGTCAAGTATCTGTTTTGGAACTATTTTGTTTGGATGACACATAGGTAACATCAGAGACACCTTTCCTGGGTGGGAGCTCTGAGGCAGAGCAGAATTACCGTGGCAACATGGGTTTCCTGAGTTTCCTTTTTGCACACTCATTTGAATTAGTGACTTTAGAAGAAAAGGCTTCAATTCTTCCGTGTCTGCAGTATGCTTTCCTCATTTTCTTCCCTTCATTCCTCAGTTTTTGCTATTTCATAAGCCTGAAACAATAGCAGTGTCTCAACCGATGGTAAGGAAATAGGTGAGAGTGTGGAAGATCATTATAATGAAATCATCCAACATAAAACAAACAAGAAAAAAGAAAAAAAGCATCGAATTTGTTTTTGTGAGCAGTGCTAGTTGCCTTGCCAGTCTGAAGCTGGCACTGTGGGTTTGCTGTAATCACTGAGCTGAGAAAAAGAGACACGGGGTTTGTTTGTTTGTTTGTCATCATGGAGTTATGCAGGACTTAAGCACTTGAATGCACAACACTTTTCTTCGCTGCCTCTCTGTGTTTCTGGATTCCACATAAATTCCCCCCTTTTGATTCCTGCAATCTGTTTTTCTGACCCTTCTTAAGAATTAGGATTTATGTATATCCCATGTGAATATCAGCTTGGAAAATGTGCCTTTTTGATTTTAAAAAGGAAATGTGAAAAAAATCAATTACACCTGTGGCTGTGAGTGCTTTGCTGGAGCAGTGTCTCCTAGGGAAGATGTGTGTATGTGTGTTGCTCTGCTCTGGGGGCATCCAAGCATCTTTCTGGCCTGTTGATGGGTCTGTAGTAGGATGGCACCTTAGGTTTGTTGTGGTATAATGTGGCAGGTGGGCAAACACCCAGAATCTGGATCCTGGACATGGTGGAATATGCTGTAGCATAACATATAGACCTTTGATTTCAGTACAAAGTTGTCAAAAGATTAGGAGAAGGAAAACACACCTTTAAAAGGAAAAAAATGTTGTAATCAGGCTCGATGACACAGAGCAACACCAAGGGAAAATAATTGCTCTTGTCTGCCAGTCCTGACTAATGCACTTCATCGCCAAAGCCAATGATCCTCTGTCACTTGGAGAGCAGATTCCAAAGGTCTGTGTTATGCAGCGTTTTCAGTGTAGCTGGTGAAAACCAAATAGTGAGACCATAGAGCCTTCACCTCGTTTTGGGAGCAGGGACCCTGCCTTGCTGGTCTGCTCTGCTGCCATGGGGAAGGTCACACCCCTCCTGTCACACTGGCTGCTCACCCCAGCCCTGGCTGTAAAGGCTGTGCCAGAGGCAAGGAAAGGGATGGAAAGACATGTGGTGGAAAGATGTTGCACTCTAGCATTCCTTGGCTTGATGAGATGGCAAACTCCAAACCAGTACAGGCCAGCCACAGCAGCCAAAGGCTCTTCTCATGTCCTTTCAAAGCTGACCTTTAGGCACAGAGTTAGTGCTAATTGCTTGAACCCTACTGAGGTCTGAGGAGGTGGGTACAGCGCTGAGAACGAGTTATGGACCTCTGCTCTTCTCTTGGCTCTGCCACTTGCTGCTTGTGGCTGCAAATCACTTCCTCAGTGTGAAGCTTTCTTTAGTTGTGTCACGCTTTTGGATCTTTGGCTGGTGAATAATTTAAAGTGAGTGTGCCTCTCATTTGAGTGACTGAGCAGGCAAAGGACTCATCTGTAAGGCAAGGGGCCATTTCCAAACCAAGGCATGAAGACCACAGGATTATTAAGGTTGGAAGCCACCTGTAAGATCATCGAGTCCCACAGTTAACCCAGCACCACCGTGTTCACCACTAAGCCATATCCCCTTGTACTACATCCACACACCTTTGGAACACTTCTGGGGATGGTGATTCCATCACTTCCCTGCTCCAGTGCCTGACTAATCACTTTCTGGGCCTCATGCTGCTGCCTATGCTTCAGTCACAGTCAGGGGCTTTCCTCTGCCTTGTTTTCCAGCTGACCCTTCTGGGAGGAAGGAGAAAGCCTTGAGCTGTGTCACATCCCCCAGCAGCAGAGACTGGCACAGCACATTGGCAGTGCTGCTTTGTTGTGGTTTGTGCCAGCTGCAAAGATGAGGGTGGGCTGGGAGCCCCACTCACCGTGGCCTTTCCAAACTCTTGATGCTCTGGAGTTCAGGCTGTGTGGGAGTTTTGCCTGATCTGGTAGGTATGCAGTCAACATAATGTTCCAGTAAAGCTTACACACTTGAAACAAAACTGCTTTGTGCTGGAAACAGGCAAGTTCCAGCAGTAGGGAGCCTCCAGCACTCTTGTACCTCATATTTCTTATTTATAACCCTGGTGTTTTCTCTTCCTGTTAACTTGAATAGGGCTTGGAGCAACGTGGTCTACTGCAATGTGGGGTGATCTTTGAGGTCCCTTCCAACCCGTTCTGGGATCCAGTGATTCCATGAACTTGACCTTCTCACCTACTGCACACCATGCAGACTGTCACCAGGTTTCCCTTCCCTGGCACTGGCTGAGGTGCTGGTTAGACCACACAGTTCCTTAGGATGATACAGACAGTCTGATCTCAGGAGAAACTCTCCAGAACTACCCACCTCTCTTGACTTTATGCCTTGACACATCTGTGAGTCAGCACAGTGGTGATACATTCTGCCAGATGCTTCTCAAGAAGAGTCGCCCTGACCCAGAGGTTTTGGTAGTCATCTGTGACATAGACCTCAGCCAGCTTTCCATAGGGCAGTCCCGTGGAGATTGCGAATGAGCCAGGCTGAAGCACTTGCTTTTACACCACCTCTTTCACTGCTAATGCTTATTGTGTCTGGGATGTCTCAGGCCATGGTGATTTCATGCTCTCATTTCCATAGTCAGACAGTTTGCATCTGAGTACGCTGCCCCTCCAAACTTGCGAGGATGTGGGTGTCTGGTGTTCCCTCTATCAGCCCCTTGCACCTTCGGTTCACAGCCAAGCCAGTCATCCTTATTAATAGAAGGCTGGATTTCTGCGGTGAGACGTTGAGGTTGGTGTCACAGGGTGCAGCTCGGCGATAAGGACGTGCGTCTGCTGCCTTGGAGGACTGGCTGTGAAAGCTGCAACCAAGCCCAGCCTGGACATGTGAAAATGTCCCTGTAGGGCTCACCCTTCCAGGCTCCTCCCAGATCAAGGGCATCTGGCTCAAGAGGGAAGGTTGGTGTGGGGCTCTCAGTGTTGCAGCTGTCCAGGGTTGGCCAGGAGAAAAGGAAGGCTGGCAAATGTTTTATGGTGCAGCATTCTCCATTTAACCACCCAAGAGTGTCCTGGCCAGCCCTAGCACCTCCTGCCAGCTCTGGAGATAAGCCCACAGCAGGTCAGACCTAGGGATCATCGTGCCCCATCTCTGGCCACAGTAAACTGCGAGTGCCTGGGGAGATGCAGAGGATCAGGAGGTGCAGATAGTGACTTTTCCCAGCCCTCCCCATTTGCAGTAACTGTTTCCTTGTGTGTTTGGTGTGGTGTGAGCCCTACAGCCTCTTAGTGTCCTTGTAGCCATTTAACTGGGATGTCTCCAAGGAGCAGACCACGGTCAGTCTTGTGCTGTCCTTGTGTTTTGTTCTTGAGATGGACAGATGAACCAAAGTATTTGAGTTTATTGTTTCATGACACTGGCGGGGAAAGAGATGGAAAAATACAAAACCTGTATTACAATTATTAATATTAAATATTAATACAAAGCAACCCCATAGAGAAGTTCCTGTGTCAGGACTGTCTCTAACCAGTGCAAGAGGAATCATCATTGCTGGCCCATTTATTACCTTGTTTCCAAAGGCCTTTCTAAAACTACCCATGAGCATGAATAATTGCATCAGCAGTTAAAATTATTAACACACCATTAATAAATAAGAATACTCATATTAAAGGATAAAATTATTAACAGTTGGGTTTTTTTCTGTTGTTGTTTTTCAAAGCTTTTTGCCTCCCTCCTGCTGCAAGGCGACCATCCCAGCCGGAAACCTCTGCTTTTAAAGAAGGGCTTGCTGAGGTGAAAGGAGTGGGTTTCCTAAGCCACAGGATCAAAGCAAAACCTCCCAGCCTGGCCAGCACGCAGGTTTCCTCCCTATCCCAGGTTCCCAGCTCATGTCCGGGCTGGGTGTCCAGCTCAGCCACCCCCATGGATGCCATGAGTGCTCACAGCTACCTCAGGATCACCTTTTTATTATTTTTTTTTTTTTTTTTGTAATTTAAAAATAATTTGGTGGCTCTCCAGCCGAGTTATCTGCTGCTGCTGCAGAATATGCTGTGTGTCGGACTCCCACAGCCCAAAGCCTCTGTTTCCTTTCTGCCAGTACCTTGGTATCTGCCTTGCCCAGGAGCCTGCTGATGAAGATTTCCTGTTTGTTTTGAGTCACTGCTGGAGTGATAAATATACTTCGTCTCTCTCCTCCGAGAGGAAAGAAACCAGCTGCCCCGAACTAAAGGGAAAAATATGTCGAAATTCCACCAAAGGGCCCTGTTATCACGAGGCTTCCCTGGAAGGGATGAAGCAGGGTAACATGAACTATGGCAAAGGTGTGATTTCCTTATTCAGAATATTCCCTTTTGCCTTTCACCATCTGCCTTTGCTCCATAACTTTAATTTTTAAAGCAGGTTAGGAATAAATAAATAAATTCAACACCCCCCTCCCCCCCAATAAACTTACACAGTGGAGTAATGCTTGGCTGGATAAACAAACAATTATACTTGTGGTTTCTTGATCTGACCACAAGCTTTAAATGCTGTATTTTTGCATGAACCTATAATGCTTCTGGATAAACAATTGTGTTTATATTGTCAGGAGTATCCAGCGTGGTGTTGTGTAATTTCTATGTGCGATTACTGGGATATAGGATAAATTCCAAAAGAAAAGAAAGGAAAGGAAGATTAGATTATTAAGTCATTTTTAATAAAAACAGCATAGTTTGGAATCGCTTATAGCTTAATTTGTAATTTTAAAAGAATGCAGTGCTGGCTTTTAAGTTTCTACAATTATCTTTTCATCTCTTTTTATGCTTTTCTTTACTAGAGATGGGGCCCAACCCAAACCCTTGGATCTAAACCCAAGATCCAGGTTCAGATCTGAGTTCAGAGCTCCAACCTCATTCCCAAAGAAGCGGAGTCAGGCCAGCGGGCTTGGGCTGCATTTGAATTGTGCAGCCCAGGTTCAGCGGTGTTTGATTCTCAGGAGCCACATGTGGGGCAAGTGGTGGCGGCCGTGGGGCCAAGAGGTGCCTCCAGCCCTGCAGAACAGCCAGGTGGGGTGGCAGGGGTCACAGAAGTGCTGTAGGTCAGTGATAAAAGAAAATGCTCATTAAAAATATCTTGGGGGCAGCTTTGCTCTGATCCAAACCTAGCCAAGGCAAACGCAACCTCTTGCCATGGCTTGGAGGAACGTGCGCTCCCAAAGAGGATTTGGGGCTTTTTTGGATGAGATTTTTTTCTAAAGGTACTGGTTTCAGCCTCATAAAAAAAGGAACAGGGCTAAGTTTTGCTTTTGATAGGTGTTTGAACTGCTGCTTATGGGGGAAAAAAGAGGTGGTTTTCCTCCAGTTTTTCTGCAGTTTTTGCTAGATTTCTCCTTTTTTTTTTTTTTTTCACGTAAACGCCTTAAGCATTGCCAAACAATATGTGCTTTTCTCTACTCACCAGCACATTCCCACTCCAACAGGCTAACCCAGCTCTCCTTTTTATCACTGAGTGAAATCACATGGAACAAAAATAATTATATTTAAGCAGTTTGAAGTGTACTTTTTTTCCCGTGGTTTACCTTTACCATCTCCTAGTAAAATATAATTTCTTTTTTCACAGCAGATGAAAAAAGACCATTATAACTTTAAAGCATGAGATTATAAAAGACTGCAGCTAGTTTAGCTCTCACAGTTAGAAGTTAATTCTAAGTCACTGGAATTGAAAACATCAGTTTGCAACATTTACTGGCTCGCTATAAAAATGTATTCCCCTGTGTTATGTTAAACATGAGAAACTACACCTCGGTGTGTCCATTATTTATATATTTATTCATATCTTGCTGCTTTTGATTCAGCTGTGTAACTGTATGCAAAACAGATAATTACTGGGGAACAGAATAATTTGTATTTTGAGGGGAATAAATACCCTGAAGGATTTGCTTTTGGGGAAAGAACACACTGCAAAGAAATTACATTGATTTTTTGAAACAGATATGAAAACAAAATGAAACAAACAAAACAAAAAGGTGAGGAAATACGGACCCAGCAGCTTTGACCTTACCGTGTTTGTGGTGGGGGAAGTAATTTTCCTTTCTCAGCACCCAAATCCACCTTGGAAAATTGAATGTGAGGCCCATTATTTAACGTAATTATCTGTAAAACAGGGTTTAATGGCAACTGAACCCAAATACCAGAATGATGCTGAGGGGCTGACTGATTTTCATGGAGTGGTGAGATTGGGACCAACACATTCTTCTCCATGGAAAGGTACTGCTTAAGAAATACTTGCACCAAACTTGCCTCACACATGGCAGTTATTTAAGGAAAATGCCATTTTCCTCTCCCTTTTCAGCCCATGGAGTTCACCACCCTGTGGTGGCGAGGGAACAGTTCTGGATGGGCTTCCACGCAGGTAAGCACTACAGATCTCCCTCCTCCAGCTTTTTTCTCTGATGTAGCACTAGACAGTGGAAGAGAGATGTTGAAGACATTAATTTCAACATTTCCAGTAACAGAATTACTACTGGAAACGTGGCTGAACAACGGCATCACCGCTCATCTCCCTTTGGTTTATTCAGCACCAGCGTTTCCCTGTTCCATTTCTGTTTGCAGGTGTTCTGGTGGGAAATAAGAGTTTCCCCAAACTTTCCTACAGTGAGGGTTTTATAAGCAAGTCCACGCCAAAAATGGTTGTCTGGTCATCTTAAAACTACTGTGACAGCTTTGAAACCTGGGTGGTGCAAAGGGGTATTAAAGCTGTTCTGTGGAGCATCCAAAGGGTCCATCTGCAAGGCCAGGTTGGACAGGGCTTGTGGCAACCAAGTGCAGTGGAGAGTGTCCATGCCCCATGTCAGGGGTGGAATTATATGGTGTTGAAAGTCTCTTCCAATCCAAACCATGCTGAGATTTTATGATTCTATGATCAGTCAACATCCTGACAGTGCCTCTGAGCATCTCCCGGGACCCAAACGAGCAGTTTGGCTGTGAGAGGGACATTTCTCACACAGATAGGGTAAGTACTCACTGCAGCTGGCTGTTTATCTCAGGTATTTGGAAGGTCTTTTTGCTGTAGTTGTGTCCTGGTCTCTGGCACAGGCCTCCTACAGCTCCTTGGAGAGGCTGTGCCCTGGACATAGAGGCACAAAGGGCACAAAGTAACAGGGGCACATGAGGAACCTATGGCAGAATGTGGGGGGACCCCCAATTTTCCAATTCCCTGGTTAGAATGAGGAGATGGTTTCTGTGTTAATCTGCCTCATGGGACTGTGCCTTTCCACCAAGAAAAAAATGTTTAACATGAAGGCACTCTGCAAATATAGTCATGGGTAGCAGCGCACGAAAAACAGTTTAACACAGTGCTAAAGAAAATCAAAGTGAAAAATCTCGGTCTTAAAATCGCAGCCTTAACACTTCCACCAGGACTGATCATAAGTTTCTTTTTCTTTTTTTTTTTTTTTTCTTTCCTCTTTCCTTTTGGTGGAGAAGTTTTCAAAGGTATTTTTCAAACTTTCCAGTTTAGCAATGTGTTGGCTCAAATTGAAAAGAGAACTAGGCACTGGGTCACAGGCAGAATTAGGTTTGTGCTAGTGGTGGGGGCAGGTTGCTGACACAGCTACAATCAGACAAAACATTCAAAACTTCTGGCTTTGTACTTCTCAAATGCCTCTTTTAGAAAATCGCTTAAGTTGTTATTAACATCCACCACCCACCTTCCCTTTCTGGTCCTGACATTGTGTAATAATAGATAATGTTGACATATGTTCCCTGCTGGTCAGAAATACTATACTTCTGTGAAAGGTAACATTTTCAAGCAATGACAAAATGTATTTTACTTGGACAGAACATTAGTTATTGGACTAATCTCCCAATGTGGGATGTGGGGTAAAAGTTTTAACATTTTAGTTGTGGGAGAAAGTTTGTTGGGACAGTAAAAGCATCAGTATGGGGTGTGTTTAGTTTTCTCCATTTCTAGAGGTACTGGCTTGGTATCAAACTCTTGCGTCCGTAGGAATTTAAAAGAAACATTTGCAGTATGTATGAGGAACAGCTGTCTGTGTACTCCCAGCAACTTTTCAAAATGACTATTTGGACATTTTTTTCCTTGGAAGGATTAGAGAGCTCAGGAGAGCTGTGTGTGTGTATGTCCCACGAGCTCCAAAAATAATTTTTTATTTTACTGGATGGATTTTGAAATATTGAATAATTGTAAAAAGAGCTGCGTTTTTGTTTCTATTTCCCACTAAACAAAGCTGTCTGAAAATAGAAAAAGAGGAAGAGACAACAAAATCTTCCAAACAAATATGTTGTGAAAAAACTACTTTTGAAAGTAATCTAGGGTGAGATTCTATAAAAACCTGTCTGCTTTGCATGTTACCCGGCTCAGCACAAGACTGCACAAGCCTGGGGAAATCGGGCTTTATTTTAGGTCTTTCATGGATCTCTGGGGAAGCTGGAAATCAGCTCCTTTATTGAATCTGGTCTTTTTACATGCTACAACGGGACCCAGAAATAATCACGGGGGTCCTGCCATGTGGCAGATAAACATCTCTGGCAGTGGGGTCCCTAAGTTTTTTTTTTTTTCTCACTACACTACGAAGCAGGCTGATCAGAAATGTGTCTTTCCTGCAAAATCAAGGAGGTTTTAGGGAACAGCCCTCAGTCCAGCATTTACCCGCCGCCTCCCAGGCCCTGACACACCAGTCTGTGGGGAGCAGGAGCTTAACCTGCTCAGCCCCAAGCCATGAGCTGTGGGACATCCTGGGGACATCCTGGGGACATCCCAGGGCCTCCCAGCAAACCCCTTCTGTATGGGAAGCGAGCTGCTGCCGTGTGGGTCTGGGATGGGGTGTCCCATGGAGCAGCTCCCCATCCATCTTCCTTCACCCATCAGGAGCATCCTGTTTGTTTTCAAACTCTCCCTGCGTGTCTGTCGAGCTGCCTTGGGCTGGCTCTGTTCTCAGTTACACCCATTGATGTCAGTGGGGTTGCGTTGGTGGAATCAGGAGAAGAATTTGGCTCCTCGTAGTTTTATTCCCCCTCTCCTCTTCTCTTATTTTTTTTTTTTTTGTCACTGCTGAGGCTGAGCCCAGCCCTCTGCCTGGCTTGTCCCGGGCTCCTGCCGCCGCTGGGGTGAGAGCTTCTCCTCTGCAGCTCCTGCTGCTTGGCACGGCTTCGCTGCTTCGGATCCAATCTCGGCTCAAAACATATCTGTTCTGCTTTCTGCTTCCTCCCTCCCTCCCTCTTTGCTCGCTGTAAAGCATTTTATTATCCAGACTTTATGGAAGGCTCTGTACAAAATGAAGTTGTGAGGTTATTTGTTTTGGTGTGGCCGATCCAATAGTATAAGCTACTTCCCTCCTTTAATCTTCCCCTCTTTAGATAGCACATGGGCTTTTATGTCCATTAATTGTCAGAAATAAATGCTTCTTTAGCTATTACTTCCTGAAGCAGAGCAGTGATCTCCCTTACATACAGCTGTTTATATTATGCATAGCACAGCCTTGTCATAGGAATACATTAAAAGTTTTTGTGAGACCTTGAACTCGCATTTAGCATAATTTCCAGTTTAACTTTCCTTTTTCCAAAGTGAGCTACTGAGCAGCAATGTCTGCTGCCCCTCTGCTGCCATGGCTCAGGAACAATCCCTGCAGAAGCCAACAGGCATTAGAAGAAATAGAAGAGGGATAGGATATGGTGGGTAAGGTTAGTGGAGTTTCATCTTGCTGCTTTAAGACCTAATCATTATTAATTATTCGCTTAATAGTAGAGACTTCATGTCCCAGCTGAGATTAAGACCAAATGGTGCCAGATGTAGTGCAAACACCTATTAAGTCATCGTCCCTTTATCAAACAATTTGCAGTCTAAATAGACAAGACAGAGAAAAGATGGGAGATG